CATATGCTGGGCTTAAACACACTCTCTCTCTGCACACACTCACACACACATACACACTTTGATGGCTCCACTGATAATCAACCCTGACAGGAGGAGGTGAAAATTCGCGGCGTTCCCTGTGGAGCCGGGATGCCACTCCAGCCGACTCGGGCAGAAAGAGGGGTGGGGGCATGGAAGCTAATATTTGGGAGGAGAGGAGCAAACAAGACATGCAGGAGTTCTAGACTCTGGGTTAAGGTCTCTTGCAGGATAAACCTCACATAACTGACCTCATTTGTTTGGAGAAAATAATGCTTAGGAAGACATGTTGGAAATAAGATTTGTTGTTGTCATCGCTGTACTTAAAGCATGCTGAAAAATGTTTATCTTTCTATCAACCCCTCAATAGAGCGAGGCCATCAACTTCTTCAAAGCTCCTGACCAATACCAGGAGTGAATCAGGATCACGTTCTGCTGACCGGAGGCCTTTTAGGGCTTCAGAAACAGCGGCAGGCAGTGGTGCTGAGGTTCCACACCACAAGCCACAGACCCTCACATGGTTTGTTATATGTTGTGAAGTGAAACCCTCTGAAATCCACTTTTGGTGATCTTCATGTTTTCACTTCAATTAAAGGATTAGAGGGTCCTCAGTGGGTTGAAAAGATCTTAAAGCCTTTCAAACAGCATAAGACAAACTGAAAAATGCTCAGTGTTCCTGCTGAAAACAAGGCAGTTTTTCTTAGCTCCTGAAGAGCTGACATTTTGCAGACACCAGGGTTTAACTCGAAAGCAACGCTCGCCAGATGTGTGTTTAAACACCGACTGTGGTGTTTTTTTTATAGAGATTTATTTTAAGCATACAAAGAATTCAATTTCATTAAGGTTTTATGTCAGTTTTGTGAAGAATGTAACAGTGTACCATCTGGGCGACAGACTGACACAGAAACTGCGCTTAAATTATTCATTCAAACAATCTCTAAAAGCATCTGTTACTTCCTTTGTCCTCTTGTTGTAGAGAAGGCAAACACACACACATCTAATTGTTCTGCCTTCAATCAGTCCACCAACCCAAATTACAAACTGGGCAAAGGTCTCTGTTAGGACGAAACAACACTGCCACCTGGTGCCACATCACAACTACTGTAGCAAATGTTACAAATACAAGGACGTGCTTTCACATGACTGTCATGTTCTCCCATGTCAGCTGGCTGTTGCCTTTTGTGTGTGTTTGTGTGTGTGTGTGTGTAAATGCCAAGGTTCGCTATTATCATGTGCTAACTTTACATTTGTTTACTATTTTGGGTTTCTGACCTGTTTCCTGTTTATTTTTTTATTAAATTTATTTTTTTAATGGATGGATTTTGTAATTCCATTTGACCAATGTCATTTTTGCCCACAAAATCTTTTTTTATTTTTTTAATTCCTCGGGGCAATAATAACAAAAATCAAAAACAGAAAAAGAAAAATCTGAATTACAAACCATGCACTGTTAACAGCATTGAATATTTGTCCTTTTTTTATTTCATAAACATTGTAAATTTATTATCTTAGCATCACTACCTTAACCATACAATGACAATTCAACTGTTTGGTTGAGCATAGCTTTAAACAGTTAAAAATCATACTTAGGAAATTATCTCAGGATATATATATAATGGATAGGCTGACATTAAATGTATCATTTACCAACAATTAATAAACAAACAAAAGTGTTTTTTTTTTTTTTTAAATTTCATAGCAGATAGTGGCAAACAAAAGTTAATGATACTTACATATTTTGTTCAAGAAGATAAGAGGAGATAAGATATATAAGATATATAGATAAGAACATAATATAATCTTCACAAATGAACATTCATTTTATGATTTTTAAAGTCTGAATACAATCGCCACATGTACTGTACAAAGCTAATGCTAGGCTATAGATGAACAGCAGCAGCAGTAGCACTACATAATGACGGCACCACAACGAGGCTGTAAAGTCATGCTTGGCATGATGACGTTCTGTAGTGTTATTTCACCACTTGTTACCAACTGCCTTTTTAAGGATACATAAACGCTTCAAAATTCACAAGTGGGGTATTTCCTAACATATTTTAGGTCATAGACAAAACATGAAAGTCTCTTAAGCCTTTGTTAACCACAGACTTAATATTAAGGCAGCTAACCAAAAACCCATTAAAATAGGGTGACCGTATTTTGATTTCCAAAAAAGAGGACTTTCGGCAGGCCACGACATAGCCTACTTAAATGATACTCACAGTTTACTCAAAGATGTCTTATAATTTTAATATATTTAAAATTTATATGTATGGATAGAAAATTCAGTTATATTACAAAATAATATCTCTCAAAGACAGAAATTCAGATAGGCCCCTATAGATAGGGGACACATACACACACTAGAGTGTGGCGATCCGAGCCTGACTGGTCCTGATGGTAGGCCTACCCGACGGGTCGGGCCGGGTTCGGTCAAAAATGTATAAATTGTATTCGGGCTCGGGTCGGATTCGGTCAGCTTTCAGTGAAAATGTAGTGTAAAAATAAATAAAATCCTATTGTCTGTCCTGTTTATTGCTTGATCACTGTTATTTACGTGACAACACCTGAACATACACACAGACACACATTGGCTGTTTGTTTCTACCTCTCTCCTCGCTGGAAGTCTCGGACCTCCAGCCGCCTGCCTCCGCCTTGATTAAACGCTGAAAATTAAATAAAAGAGGGAGACAGGTTTTTCCTATTTTATCTTATTTTGTTTTATTTCTCCCTCTCCTCTCGCTGGAAGCGTCGAACCTCCCGCCTCCCACTCCCGTCTCAAACACGGAGGTCTCCCTCTGTGCTGAGCATCCACAGCGCACGCCCAGCCTGTTAAATAGCCTGTAACAACTGTGTGACACAAACTCAGTGCTTTGGTCATGGGCTCGGTTCGGGTTCGGACAAAAATATGCGGCCCGTGCCGCACTCTAACACACACACACACAAACACACGGAAAACCGGACATTATCATCAGTTTATAAAAAAAAAACCCGGACGCCCCGGACAGGATGTGAAAAGTGGACATGTCCAGGCAAAAGAGGACGTTTGGTCAGCCTACATTAAAATCCCACTAACTTTGGGACAAGGGAGCAGGCGTGCAAAAATGCTAACTCTTTTCCAGGCTTTAGAACTCATTCCTGGGGCACTCTATAGTCTAATTTTATAACATTTGCTTAACTTCACTATCTTTACCATGAGGGGAAATTAACTGTCTGGTAGAGCATGTTTTTAAAAAATGATGTGACCCTTACTTGACTTTTA